CTACTGGGGAGGCTGAGGCAGGAAAATTGCTTGAACCCAGGAGGCAGAGGTTGCAGTGAGCCCAGGTTGCGCCACTGCACTCCATCCTGGCGCCTGGTGACAGAGTGAGACTCTGTCTCAAAAAAAAAAACACAAAAACTTTCTTTATAACCTTGATAAGATTAGAGAAGGTCATTATAACTATGTCTCAGAATCCAGAGATGTTTATCACAGAATTGTTTATAATAAAGAAAATTACAAACAGCCCAAATTTCATCAATTAAAGGGTGAAGAGGCTGGATACATTGGCTCATGCCTGTAATCCCAGTGCTTTCAGAGGCCAAGGCAAGAGGACTACTTGCAGCCAGGAGTTCAAGATCAGCCACAGCAACATAGTGAGACCCCATCACTCCAAAAAGTTTAAAAATTAGCCAGGCGTGCTGGTGTGTGCCTGTAGTCTCAAGTACTTAGGAGGTTAAGGCAGGAGGATTGCTTAGTCCAGGAAGTCAAGGCTGCAGCGAGCTCTGATCATGCCACTGCACTCCAGCCTGGGCCATAAAGCAAGACCCTGCCTCAAAAAAAAAAAAAAGGAAAAATTAAAAAATAAAAAGTAATGAAGGATAGAAGTATACTACCTATGCAGAAGAGTACTCATAAAAAATAATGATGTGTAACTACATTTATATCCAAAATTGCCCACAAAATAAAAATGAAAAGCATTGTACCATAAAATACATGTTTCATCTGATACCATTTGTATAAAATGTATACATACACAGTACGTGTATATGTGCCTAAAGAGATGCTTGGAATGGTGTTCACTAGAACATTCAGAGTAGCTGTCTTTAGCTGATGAGTTTGTTTGTGCTTCATTCTTTGTACTAATTTTACATTATTTGACATTTTTGCAACAAGCATCCATTTTTTAAAAGAGAATGAAACCATTTTCAACTCACACTGAAATATGAAAGAAGCTGGCACTTAGTAGCGTCAGGTCCCTCCTTTCCAGCTGATTAGAACCCCAGCTTTACAAAAAGTGGAGAGAGGAATCTGACTGACCCCTAAACAGTTATCAGTGCTTCCCTTGTAAGATGTGACAGCATCATTCACTGATTCAAAAAGTGCAGTAATGCAAACAACTGAGACACAGGTGAAGATGACTCAGAAATAGCTTTAGAGAAAACAATGATGCCAGTGATAAAAAACGCTTATAACAAGATTCAATAAAATTGTTTTATGGAGTATAAAATGGAGAAGTAATATTCTAAGTTAATGTATTTTATGCAGCCAGAGATATTTAACTAGATGTAACAAAAGTAATAGGACAAATATTAAAGGAACACATGGAACCTTTTTCTAGCCCCTTCAAAGTCTGTACATTCAAGTAGGTCATTTAAGAAAATACATTTTTGGCCAGGCCCAGTGGCTCACGCCCCTAATCCTAGCACTTTGGGAGAATTGCTTGAGGCCAAGAATTCAAGATCAGCCTGGGCAAATAAATAAATAGGACTAGGCATAGTGGCTCTTACCTGTAATTCCAACACTTTGAAAGGCCAAGGTGGGCAGATCACTTGAGGTCAGGAGTTTGAGACCAACCTGGCCAACATAGCAAAACCCAGCATCTACTAAAAATACAAAAATTAGCCAGGCATGCTGATGCGTACCTATAGACCCAGCTACTTGGGAGGCTGAGGTAGGAGAATTGCTTGGATCCCGGAGGTGGAGGTTGCAGTGAGCCGAGATCACGCCACTGCACTCCAGGCTGGACAACAGAGCAAAACTCCTTCTCAAAAATAAATAAATATATTTTTTTAATTTAAAAATACATGTTTGAGGAATCTTCTCAAAGAGGATAAAAGAGGGCCTGCCTTATATTAGGGATCATTTCATTATGGACATCTTTAGAAGCAGCCTGGAGTGTAGGCAGGAGTCTGGGACCCCGCAGCCTCTCTCACCCTCCTCCCTTCCCCTACATTACAGAACCTGAATCCCAGGACTGGGGATAACAAAACAAAAGGCTGGAGGCGGGAGAGGGGCCAGGAACAAAGTGCCTACCTCCTTCCTTCTCTCTGGGGAGCCCACAATTAGTATGGCTGTGGAAAAAGTGACAGAATGGAAAAAGCAACAACTCTGGCTGGCTGGTTTATAAGCTAGTCATCTCCAAGGTCACGTGAAGAGTAAATAAAATCCTTGCAAAAGAAGAGTGCCCCCTCTAACCCCTTCATTCCTGAATTGGGCAGGAGCTGGTTCTTAGGGAAAGGAGCTGAGAGTTCTGAAAGGGGAGTGACGGTGTGACCAGGAGCGCAGCACAGAGGACCCAGGTGCCGGGCTCCACCGGAGTGGAGGGGCAGCTGTGCCCTCCCCGACGCCAGCACGCGCCTGCCTCCTCCAGGCAGCCTTCAGATGTGATGTGACTTGACGTGCCTGCCGCTAGAGCCTGGGAGTTGGTCATGGGCTCATGGATTTACAAGCTGACATGTAAGGGCCTGGGCCTGGGCAGGATACATTGAGTATAACTCAT